TCCTTAGGGTCTATTGTTTTAGGGAATCCAACCAGTAATGGCTTGGATTAAAAAGGGAAAATTAAAGGAAAGTGCATCATCAATATGCTAAGCAAACAAAAGACCTTTAGCCTCTGTGTCTGGACAGGCAGACCATTATTGGAAAATTATTGTCCATATTTGTGTGCATGTTTATGTTTATTATCTGATGTTTCTAACTGAAAAGAGTTTTGTCTTCATCTCTTGGAATTTAACTGAGATATAACCATAACTTTACTGATTCTGGAAAGTAGGTTAAAATCCACTCTCATAATTTAAAAAATAAATAAATAAATAAAGACAACAAATGAGCTCTGGAGTTCCATGGGAGCACCTTAGTTAATTTAGTTAATTTAGTTACTGATGATGGTACCAGTAATTAATATTACTTAATCTGCCTGTTTCACGAGATGTATTTGGTCAACAGTGCATTTACCAACAAGGGAGATGAAAATAAGTTTTGATTATATCTATGATGCCAAAGTACAGAAAGTTACTGGCTCCTGTACAGATGGGTACCTTTGAAATATCTTTTTTTTTATTATTTTGCCAGTATCAACTTAATTCTTGTTTCATGTATCCAGGAGTGCCAGCCCTGACCATCGCTGTCATGATGGCAGAATAGGTGCTAATTTATTTTTCATCACTGGCTATGCCTCTTTCCTACTGCTGTGATCTTTTCTTCAAAGATCTCAAGTTTGCCTTCATTTCATGGGCAAAAGTGGCATTTAGTTTAGCTGTAATATTTCACATGAGAAAGAAGTGGAAGATGTGATATTATTATTTTTTTTTGGCAGTTGTTGTTTCATAGTAGTATGCAAAATGTGGAAAGTCAGTCGTATTTCATTGGTATTTGGCATCTGCACAACAACTGATTGCTCTTCTCGGAGCTTTTTTGGAAAGTTTGCAGCACCATAATGACAGCTTTCTAAACACAGATGTCCTCTTGGTACAACCTATAATTTTTTATGAAAGATGTATCAATGTCAGGAATTTGAACAAAGTGCTGGAATTAGTTGAATATTCTTGTTATGAATATGTATTCAAAATATCTACACTACTTATATTGTAAGTTGGAGGAAGAATATGCAATGTCTGAAGGCAAAGATGTTGGTACAAAACATCAGAATATAGTTTAAGATAAATTGGTTCTTTTGTTAATGGACTGTCTATACTTTAGTGAACTTTTCCCTACTATGTTCTATACTCTCTAAGTGCCTACTATAACCTCGAAGCATCAAGAATCTCAGGAATACATTTAGATAGTCAGGGATTTGGCCATGGAAGATGTCTAATAGCTGAGTGGCCTGGAGTAGTTATTAAATGTTCTTGTGAAGTCCCATTAGTAGCCTGTTGCTCTTGTTTCATTTACCTCTCAGCTAAGCCATCAGGAACTGAACACTTCAAACACAAAGTCCCCCTCCTCAAGTCAGCTATTTTTCTTGATGTTTCCCTTAAGTGTTTTTGGTAAGTGAAAGTCAGTTGAAAGCTTATCATGTGTGAGATGATAAACTTCAGCAGCTTGTGGTTCTTAGTAAAGGAATCCTCAATTGTATTTACCTGTGGGCCTATTATTTACAAATACCTGCAAATAAGAAGACAGTGCTTAATGGTTATTGTATGTAATTTATGTAAGTTCAGACTTGCAGGTGAAAAGGAAAGTCTACTCTGGAACCATCTGAGATTGCTTTTGATGATAACACAGTCCATTCTATATTGTTCTTCTACCTATTTAGGTCAAGTTAAGATTAGAGTACCATGCAGGAAGTTTATCTCGAAATTCTAATGATATTAGAGGAAATACAGTTCAATAAATATTGTCCCATTTTGGTTTTGTGCAGCTCTGCAGCCTGGATTTAAGTGCTGATGTTTTTATGATATAGCTAACTTCATGTAGCTTCCTTCTATCTGTACTTGTACATGGCACTTGGTTTTGATTTATTTTCAGGTCTATACTCCCACACCACTAATGACACGTCATTCAGATTCAGAATAGATATTTTAAAGTTAGAATGCTGCATCAGAAATGATGGAAAACCATAACTGTTAATTAGAAAATGCTTTCTTTTTGGACTTCAGCTGGGTCATGCTGTGCTCATTCAATATTATGATGGTGGGGTTCCTTCCCTTCTCTCCTGCTTCTGGTTGATGATAAAATCCCTTGTCTGGTGTATGTGCATGTGTGTGGCCCAGCCTGGGCTGCTCTTTGGCTTGTCTTGGATCATGACCTTTTGCCAAACCTCAGCAGTAGCTCTTGGGGAAAAAATGTAAACATACAACCAAATTTACTCTGGTTTCTTTATTTAGCTCAGTACAAGTTAATTCTAATTGCTATAAGGCTTCAATATGACGAACTTTTTCCTAAATCAGAAAATGGGAGAAGCTAATTTAATATTTTAATTACAGTAATTTAGTGAACAAATACAAGTGGGTGGGAAGCAAATGGGATCTCCTAATGCAGAAGTAAGAATTTTGAGTGTTTAAGAGTTGTGATAATTTTATTTGTTAATTTTAATCACATTAAAAGATGTGTTCAAGGATGACAAGGAAGAAAATACTTATTTTGTTAGGCCAGAATTATATGAAAACATTATGCAATAATACTGATTACTAAGAAAGTGCCAGAATTGTGGGCAGTGTAATCACCTACAATTTTCTGAGAATATCCTTACTAAAATGACTTACCTAATTTAAGTGTAATTTCCAAAATAAGGAGACCAGACGTCTTGTTTGTGACAGTGTGATGGACTCTTTTCCATGTAATGGTCTACCTTCTACTAACATTAAATGGCTTCTTTTCTTCCTGTAGGTGATAGTTGAGGATTATGCTGGTTTTTCCTATGTGGTTACAAGTTATGGGGAAACAGGGCAGAGTTTCCATAAACTAGAACATTGAAGATTTCAGTAAATGGAAAGCCTTTTGTTTGGTTGGTTATTTTGACTGTCATTAAAACTCACCTGTCTACAGTTTGCCACTTACCCTGACTATTTTATATTTGTTCTGAGCTGTTCCCACTGTTGGCTACAAGAGCTGATCACTTTGCCTCATTGCAACTTGCAGAACATTTAGATGAGTTGTCAGTTGACACAGAATGTGTGTAATTGATGTAAAGATTAATTATTAAAACTGTCAGTTTCCCCTGCCTAAAATGCACATATTTGCATATGAACTATGCCTCTTAAGTTGTTTATAAATGTGCCCCAGTGTAAAGCTTGAGATAGGTTTTTGCTTTGTCTTGTAAGAATACAGCTGTCACATGATGAAAACATATTCTTCCAGGCTTTTTCATATGGATTGACTTCTGCAAGTTAAAGAACTTCTTTGACCTGAGTAGTTACATATTTACCACACTGTACAAGCAAAAGGAATAGACACAAATGTTTAGTATTGAATATTTGAATGTTAAAAAAAATGAGGCTTTGACTCACCCACAGAGCCAAAACCCTAAATCATCAAAGGAATAAACACTCATGTAGATTAACTTTTGCCAAACAAAAGATTTGTCCTTGCAAGTTGACTCTGGAGAAGAGGGTGCAGAACTTTTGTTTAAACAGTTTTATTTATGATAAGGTGTGGAAAACTCGTGGTTAAAGATACAGTCAGAACTTCTTGGGCAAATAAAGACAAAGAAAGTTAAATTTAGTAGCTCCTGCTGATACCAGGGAACTAAGATGAAAATGTTTGACCACAAAATATTTTAAAAAACCCAGAAGTTTCTTCCAATTCTTAAAGACTTCTTAGAGACTGTTAGTGTTGCTGCTGAAAGCTCAACTTGACTGTTAAAGAGTCTGATTCAGATCTTAGTTAGGCACAAATCACTCATCGACATCACTGCTATAATGATATGTGTGTGAGACAAAAATTTTTAGAACTTTACTCAAGAGATCTGCAAAAATGACTAGAAAAGTGCACAAGTACTTATTTGTGATTTTGACTTTGAAAATAAAATATATCCTTCTGTGAAATAAACATTTGGGATGAAATCTTACCCTATTCAGGCCAATCACAGGTAGTGGACTCAAGCTTTCAGCTAGAGTTCATTTTATCTGCAGTAAAATAAAAAGTCATAAATAAGATTATTCCTGTGGCTGTTGATCCATCCATGCTTTGGCAGAGTCAAGCAGTGTATGTGCTGTAATTTCTGGAAGTGGCCAGCCTGAGAAACAGCACTGAAATCAGTGAGCACCAGTTGCTCCCTATGAATTGCAAATTGTCCAAAGATGAACGCTGCCTACAAGAATTTACAGCATTTGTCTCCCAGGCCTGCTCATCCAGTTGCACTGAAGGCAGTTCCTCAGGGTTCACATCACAAAAGTCTTTGAGACAGTTCAGTAGTAAATCTCTGTGGGGACTGAGCTGAGAGCAGTGTCATGGCCCCAAGCTCTGTGTCAAGAGCAGACGAGATTACTAATGCCAGTGAAATATTCTTTATCTGTAAAACAGCCAATCCTCTGGATTGTCAGCAAGTGCAAAATGAAACACTGATCTGCCAAATATGAGAAACTGCCTGTATTTCAGAACAGAAACCTGACCTGTTTGTTTGTCTCACATGTCAACTGCTTTGCCTACATTAGGTGGAAATGAGAAATTTATTAAGCGTAAAGTGCACAGCACAATATATAACCAAGCTAAAAGGCTCTTGCTTTGCTGACTAATTATTTCATTCACTCTTTGATTAAAACATTTTTTCCTGGGGCAAGAATGGCTGGTAAGCTTGTTTTGAAAAGTATAAATAGAAAAATAATTAAAACAAGAAGGTTTATAAAAAAACATCTAATCTTAACCATCTTACTTGGAAAAATATGTTTTTGTAAGCTGCGGATGATGTACTGTTTTTGATGCTATTATTTAAAAGAAATTCTTAGTTTTAGCTAAGATAAAGGTTAGAGTAGCATTGGATTTCACACTCCTCATATATAATATGGTAAAGTAGGTAAAATGATAATTAACTGTTCCTCCTATTATGTCTCTCTAGAGATCTGAAGAATAATTTGATCAGCACAATTGAGCCAGGGGCCTTCTATGGGCTTTCAGAACTGAAGCGCCTGTAAGTATTAATTCCATTTGAATTATTTTGAAAATTGTGTTTGTATTGACATTTCTATCTTTGGGCAACTCAAATATGCCACCAAACAATAATCAAATAAGGGCACTGGCTGTAAAGTAGAAAATTACACACTCTGCTTTTTATATTTGCCATGCCTTTTTCTTCTTCTTTCCCTTCTTTCTTCCATTTCCTTTTCCTTTTTACCTTTTCCCATTTAAAATCATCAGTTTACTCTCCAGTAAGTGTCTTATCAGGTACCCCTACAAAGGTAAAAACATTCTTAATTAATGACTAAGCAGATGATCACTATAGACATTAATCAGAAATCAGATGTTTGAACAATGGGTTGTGCTACACTAATTTATTTTGGTTGGTTGTTGGTTTTTTTTCACTTTAATCATAAATCATCCCTATAAAATATATTATTAGAAAGGAAGTTTTGTCATACCATAGAATTTATCTACCATTTTCCATACCATCAACCTTGACTTTGCTTGATATTTTTTATTTTCATCATGGTTTTCTAAGGAAACAAGACCTTACACAGTGTATTCCCTGCCCATCATTCTTGCAATTCTGTCTTGGAAAACGTTCTCGTAGTACTTTCACAAGCACTGGCTGATTTTTAAACTACATTTCAGAGGGTAAAAATATCTAAGTTACTAGGATTCTGTGGCTGGGCATTTTTCTTTTAATTAACAAGGACTACAGACCCTCCTTAGTTGTACTCAGCCTAAGGAAAAGTGAGATGAACCCTTTTTTAATTATAATTTTCCAAGTGACAGCTTCCAAATGTCCATGCACTGGCTAACTAGGCCATCAGCACATTCCTAGCCATCATGTATGCTGTCTTATGAGAAAACCAGTGAGAAAACAGGGATTATTTTAGTGGGACGGGAAGATTTAGATGAGAAGGAGAAGGAATGCAAATCTACAGAAGAAGAAGAAGAATTTTATGAATCCTCTGCTTTTCTGCTGTGTGGTATTCTCAAACTGCTGTGTGCTGGGAGCACTGCACAAGGTTTCTCGCTCTGATCATACTGTAGCTGTTTTCTAGCACCAGCTCTCAGTTTTAGTGTGTTTGGGTAGAGAGCCAGTTGAATAATAATGATGAAGTCAGAGTAGCATGTACATTTTTAATACAAATAAGAGCTTTAAGTTTGAAGCTTTCTCGCTGGCTCTGCGTACAGGGATAAAAGTAGAATGCAATAATAAAAATGAGCGCTAATTGCTGCTTTGGCCGCGCACTCTAATAACACAACCCTGACCTCTTGTGGGAAAACCAGGAAACCTGTGCAAGTTGTGGGCTGCACATCCACAGACAGCACAGGTGGAGCCTTTAGGTCAGCCAGGAGAAAAGAATCAAAGGGAGAAGAGCTCATCAGGCATTGGGAAAGAGAGAAGACTCCTCAGCACAGTAGAGTTGGTAATGTTGAGTTTTGTCATGCCCAATCTCAAAAAAACCCTATTGCTGATATGAACAAGTAACACTGGGAGCAGTCTAGAGACAGAGAATTGTTTAATGGCTGGACTGCCACATTTGATACAAATCTGTGTAGTTCCATGGTAAACAAGAAAATATCTCCCTTCCTTCAGTGTGCAACTGTTGGGAAAGAGACAGAAGAGCAAAAGGGATAAATAGTGTAAATTCCTGTTGAATACTCAAGACAGTGATTACTTTAAGATTATGCATTCACATCTTTTTTTTTTTTCCTGTGTAAAATACAAGTGATGCTGAGAAAAACAGAAGCTGATGGAATGTGGGCAACTGCCCACATTAGAGAAATGGCTATGGCAGGTCAGACAGACAAGCCACAGGCTGTCAGAATCTTCTCTGTGAATGATTTGGAGAACGGTTATAATTTGTATTTGAATGACAAATGGAATTATTTCCAGGGTTTACTCAAAAAGGTACACAAAAAATTAATGGAAATTTAAAATTTATGAATCACTAAGATTATGGCATTTGATTATTCAACACAGAAGAGTTCTTTTCTCTAACATTGACTTTGTAAGTTAGCAGTAGGAAGTTAAATGTTTTACTCCTGAAAAGGAGCACCAGCTTTGCACATTATGAACTGAATTGTGTTTAATGTAACAGGTATTTGTCTGGAGAAAAGTGTAGCAAGTTGCCTTTTCTTTTTACTTTTCTTTTTTAAGAAAATATGTTTTAAAATGCAGAAATCTTGGCCTATATATCTTCATATGAAAATAACACTTACTGAAGTAAACTTTGAGAAAATAGTGTTTATTCTTTCATTTTGGTAAATATAAGATTTTAGTGTATGTCACTCTTAGAGAAGTATGCACTCATTAGTATATTAGTATATATTAGTATAGACAAAATCTGGTTTTGCAACTCAGATCATGCCCCACACCGTGTTGCAATTCTTCCATATATGTTCAAACTTTGCCTAGACAAAAGTAAAGCATTACCCAGCCAAGAATTCTGGGTGGGTTCCTTTTATGTCTTCTAATAGAAAGATATATAGATGCATATATATATATATATATGTGTGTCTTAAACTTGCATTTTTAGATTTCCTATGTAGCTTTTATTAGGAGAATGTAAAGAATAATGCTAAAATGAAATTATAGCACTATACTGTATCCTCAGTATTATCTCAGCTTTCTACATAATATCCTTGACAAGCATTTAAGAAATATTTTCATTCTAATGTGATTTTTCATCATAAACTTGCACAATATATTCTTTGTCTGCTAGAAGACGACTTCATAGTGAATTCTAAAGAGATTGCCTTCATTTGCCAGCTAATTGGATGTGTTCCCATGAAAGCAGTAACTGGATTTGTCAAACTGCAACCTTTAGTCTTCCATTTGATTACTTTAGTGTTCTCATGTATCAGTAGAAAAATATGGACTCTGCATAATGTAGAAAAGGAATCAGAAAAACACCTCTAATTCTAAAACAAAAAATACATTCAGATCAATTTTGACATTTTTCTTGGCTGCACAATCACTTAAAATCCTTATGTAATTGCAGTAATTTTAAAAAAAATGTACTTGGTGAGAAGGAAAATTTGTGTCAAGGTTGAAAACCAAATACATAAAAATCAAACTCCAATTCAGAATCTACCAAGGGGCATAATTCATGTTTTTATCAAAATATAATTGCTTCTACCTGTTGTCATCTTCTTCCCATAAGCATCCTGTACAGTCTGTTGCATTTCTGGCTTATGCAGAAAACATTTCTTCCCTTTCTGCAGGCAGAAGTTATGGAATGCAATGCCTTTTACTGTTTGTGCCCTCAGAAAGCCACAGTGTTGCTCCTGAAAGAGCTTGCCAAGTGCTTATCAAAACTGACCTCACTAGCTCACAAATTAATTGCCTTCTGGTTTCTCTGATTTCAGCAAGAAAGGCTGCTGTTAATGAGATGAAACATGAGTAAACAGTAAAAAACAAAGTCAATTTTGGCTGAATACTGCATGGAACAAAATGCAGTTCTTCCTAAGTAAAGTAGTATTCTTCCTAAGTAAAAAACGCAGGTGCTAATAACTCAGATCAAGAAAATTCTGTGTATTTGTAATATTATTCTGCTTTTATTTGCTGCATATATCTATAAAATCCCATTTCAATGCAATTATGTCACACTATGATTTGTGGAATATTTCTCAATAATGTTAATATAAAAGTTATTTAATCTATTTAGTTCAGTTATGTTACGTTATGGGAAAAGGTTTTATTTCTCATTTGTCTCTAACTCTTTAAGTATTAAAAATACAGATGCTTTGTGTGATTACATACTTGTGTGTATAAATCAGACAGACTCAGTGTTTCATGGGACTTTTGTTTGTTTCAGGGATCTTTCAAATAACAGAATTGGTTGCCTAACACCAGAAATGTTTGTCGGGCTTAACAATCTTCACAAACTGTGAGTATAATACAAGTTTTGTTTTAAACAGAAGAAATATAAACTGTCACGTGACTGACCTGAGCATAGCTGGCAAGAAAATGACATAAGAAAGTTGAAGGTTTTGTACTAAAAGGCCCCTCCCCTGAGCCTTTGATTGTGATGAGTTGATATTTTAAATATGTTTTCTTTATTTCAGTTGTAATATCTATCAGAACTGCAAAGAAATAAATTACATTTCCACATTAAAAAGAGGCTAAACATGAAATTTCTGTTTGTATGTCTTAGAAATAATTAAAGTAAGTTGGCTGTAAATTTCCTGTCTGGGAAAGAGGCAATTCATAGGAAGAATCCTGGTTTAAATTGACATTTGGCTGGGCCCAGGAGGGCTCTGTATCTTCATTCAGACCTATCCTCATTCCTGAATGAGAAATAAATTCCTATACTGCTTCACAGTGTGTGACAAACCTCAAAAAAAGAGAGATTTTGCCCTCTCCAGCCAGTTTATGGCATTTCCTTGGATGAACAGAGAAGTCTTTCTAGAAAGACATGCCATGAGATCAAGGTAACACCAGGTAAAAGGCTGAAACCTGGCACATTTACAGATCCCATTAATGAGAGTAACTGTGCCAAGCCTTCTCTGATGAAAACAAAGGAGAACAGATGATGGGAAGAGCCTTGGTATGGGATGAACAGGTGCAAACCGCCCCTCTTTTAACTGCTCTCAGATGATGTGCCAAATTAGGCAAGCCCAACTCACTTATTGAGGGTTTCTGTGTCTGCTTTTGCTGTGCACAGTGAATATGACTGTGACTATAAAGCCAGATTACCTTGGAAGGTAAGTTTAATTCAAATGGTGAAGTCATGTTATTAAATGGAATGTGTTCCTAGGTGCTAGGAATAGACTCAATAGAAACTGTTCTATTGTCCATGCTCTCTCAGAAAGATCTGAAATTTCCATTCACAAATCTGTAAGACCCCATCTTAAAAGTGAAGTTCAGTACAGGACATCAGTCTCTTGGTGGCAAAGAACAGAAATTGATTCCCAGAGAGTGCAGTTGGTCTGTGACAGTGTTTGGCTGTACTGTCCCTTTTCTCTGAAGCCCAGGAAAGAATGTGGCCTTGTATCTCTACACCTTTCACTGATGCCAGAGATGCTGGGAGAAGGCACAGTGTGCAGGCTGACTGCCTGTGGTTACTGGGCTGATCAAACCACACCATTACAGTCTCTTTTTGTACAGATTTGCTATAAACCTACTATTTCTGGTAGCACAAGTATCTGTCCCAGCACTAGAAATTTTTTTATGAGCTGTAAGGACCAGAGAAAGACTCACCAGTCTCATCAGTTACTTACCAGTAATGACTACACAGTCATTAACATCATATTTTCTTGCATCCAGTCTTTTTATGGGTCTAACTTTCATTTTGAAATGGCTGTATATCCAGAGCTTGCTGTATTGTTTCCCTTCTGAGGCCCCAGTTTATAGCAGAAATTTGAATAAGACATTTCTTAGATGTAGTCCCAAGTCTAATAACAGTTTTCACTTTGAGTAATGTTATTTACAAGTCCTTTCATCTTTAAGAAGGTTCATCTCTTCTTGCTCTCTTAACGTTGACCAAGCCTTGGTTTTGTTATTAGCAGATTTCACATTCATATTCCCTTAATGCTGTGATGCAGAGTCATTGTTGAAAGCTCTAAGTGCAATCACTCAGAAGATCATTTCTGCAGAGCATCAGTAATGTCTTATTCCTCTCCCTTCCATCTTGTCCATTATCTTACCTTGTTTTACAGCAAATGCACTTAACACCGGGTTCTTAACGCTTTTGTGGATATGATGTCCATGCATCAATGAAAAAATTATGATTCTGGTTACTGGAGACCTCTTAGTCTGGCCTCCTTGTATTTCATAAGCATTTTGAAAAAAAGAGAAATGGGAAAAAATGTTGGCAACTCAGAAACTGGTAAAAAAATAAATCTGTGGCTACACATGGTATATCATGTATTCATATAAAGAGATCTTTGATTTTCTAGACAAGATTAATTATTTCTTGGTTTTCATATACATCTAGCATGATGTTATATAAAGAGGAGATTATTATTAAAATTTATCCCGGTGTTTTCATGTAAGTGGAATTAGCTTTGCAAGCCCCCATTTGCTGGGGTGTTCTTTCAGTTTTAACTAGTTCTGCAGATCAGAAGTCATTCTCGGGTGGTCTTGGGAAATATGCTTTCCAGGACTTGGTGTGAGCTTCTCCCATAAATACATATAATCCAAATGACCAACCTGACTGTACAGAAGAGAAAATCATATTAATGTGATGTATTTAGGCTGTATATAATACCTACTCTTTATTAATCTCTTACTTCAATAATACTACTCTATTATGACTATCTTTTGCACCATGTCTTAGCATAATTTCCACATTTTAACTTAAATTCTTCATGTCACTTTGCTAAGCTTTTCCTGTTATCTTCTCTCCAGTTCTTTGATCTTTTAAAAATTTGAATTATTTGTTTCAAGAGTTAACATTTGGTTGTTCATCCATTTAGTCTATCTTCCATTTTTCTTATTTGGGTTTTAAATTGCCTTTCTACCACTGACCTGATAAATGGGTGCATCCTGCATTGTAGTCCGTGCAACATAGTTCTTTATTAATTGCTTTATTTGTTTTACTAGTAGTAGTATTTCAAAATCTGTCCTTTGGAAATCAGAGGCTTAGAAATAATTTAGTCTACCTTATTCTTTCATCAGAAGTGAATCAGTTCACGATGGCTATGTCAAAAGCTACAGCTGCCTTGCAGGGATTGTCCTTACCAAACCAAAGTCAAGAGTACCACCACTCTTGTTGGCTCACTGATTCTTTTGTGAAGAAATACAGCCACAGTCCCAATCAAGAGGAACTGTCCCCTGCCATTCAGAGTATCACATGTTCCTGGATCTCAGAAATCCTGTATAATGATGTATAATGCTGATGGTAATTATTTGAACTGGGACCTCAGTTTACCTGTGGTGCAAGAAGCGGTCATTGTTAGTGGGCTGTGAGCTGATGCTGCCTGGTACTTTCCTAACACCCTGTAGCTTTGTTTCCCTTGGCAGCTTATGAAGAACCATACTTTTTAAATGTGTTTGAAAGACAATAGATCACCTTTCTGTTGCTAGTGATACCTCTGAGTTGTGTTTACTTGCCATTTGAGGGGTATGAGAAAGCTGTTCTCTGGAAAGGTTATGAAGAAGCATTTACTCAGTGCAGCATCAGTGTTTGTAACAAAGAAAAGATGACAAGTTCTTAAACATGGAGCTGGGTTCATAGCCATTCAGTGAAGGAGGATTATGAAGGAGAGCTGATTTGGGTAGTTGTTGATTTGATAATTAGAGTGCTCCTATGTTATGTTAGCAGAGATGAAGTACAGAAGCATCTTTGCAGGCTGTTAGCAAAACCAGTAGGGAGAGCCGTGAGTCCACTGGAAAGAGCAAAGGACATAAATCTGTTCATGTGCCTTCTGTGAAGTGCAAATATGGGGCTGACTTGTACTGTTTACAAGCACAAATGCCAGGTGAAACAAAAGAACACAGTGTGTTTCACTCAATCTTGTAAATAAAATTTAATTTGAAAAAAAGATGGAGTTAGAGCTGAAAAATCAGCTCTAGGCCCAAACTAACACAGTGTGGTTTAGCCCAACGATGTGATACATAAATCTAAAGTGAGAACATTAAAGGTATGTTTAAATACTTCACTAAAAGGATGAGGATTGCCTGGGCTTTCAGGGATAACGCAGACACTCTTCAGAGGGCTGGGTGGTTTTGTGCAGTCTAGTTTAGAACAGGACAACCTACAGAATTCTTGATTAAAGAAAAAATGAATTAGTAGTATTGTATTGGGGTTTTTTTTAAATATGCAGGCACACATAAACCACAAGAAATGGTCAGCTTCTTGATAATGTAGAGAAGACTTTTACTCCATTGCAATCAGGATGTGTATGTCAGGGAACAGAAACAATTTGTTGTTTCATTAGTAACCTAAAATTTTATACAGGTACTCAAATTACTGCAGCGACTTCAGCGAATCTTTGACTTCTGATTATGTTCCTTGAGATTTATCTAGTTTTTCACCCTCTTGGATTTGATTTTTTTACTCTGTAAAATGACTTCAGAATGCTTTCACATCATATGACAGATGCAGCAGGCAGTGCCTCCATGTGAGAGTAGGTTCATTACATCTTCTAAGATACCAGTTTACCTCTTTTGGCTAATACATTCCCTTTTGGCTGTGTTTATGCTGTGGTGAGGTGCATGTATTCTAAGTAGGAGTGACATAATTGAATGCAACAAGTCTTCCAAATCTCCTTTGGACCCAATGTTTCACTGTTTTGTTCCAGAATTATGTATGCAAATATATTTCTGCTAGGTAATGGATCTGCTATCTACATTAATTCTGTTTATATTTAATCTAAGTATTAAGAGCTGTGGAATACTGGGATGATGCCACTGTGCTGATATACCAGACTTTATTTGTTTAGTCCCTCATAATTTATCTTTTCAAAATGTTGCAGCCTGAAATCTGTTTCAACAAGTAGCTACTGCTGGATCTTCCCTTTGGAGGTTCAAACCCAGACTTTCTCATTGCTTCTAATTGTTTGATTAAACTATATCTGATTTACTCTTCATCCTGCCTCTCAATCAACAACAGCAGTTAGCTTTGTGATAATATTACACTACAAATTCTTGTATGACTTTCTTGATGTCATTGCACCAACTAATCACTTTGTATGGTGCCAGAAATTAAATAAAAAACACTAACACAGTTAATCAAACAGCCCCTATTTCAGCAAATAAGGAAATACACAATGTAACCTGCTCTCTCTGTATTTCTGTTGTCATTCTTTTATACCTTCTGTCCCTTTTTTTTTTTTTTTTCCACAGGTCAATCTGTTACTGTTGCATTCAACTTTTGCTTTTTAATGCTTCTCTCAAGAGGGAAGCATTCTTCACATTCATATACTTCTGCTTCTATCTATATTCTGCCTCAAATGGTACTTTGATACGTGTAACTATTTTTGTTTTGTGGAATTTGTCATTTATATTAAAACTTTTGGCAAAAGTGCTTCATTAATTTCTATAAAAGCACAAGTATTGGTTTGTGAAAAAACAAGTGTAGACTTTCTAAGTAAGACTGAAATGTTTTACCTCTGATAAAACTGAAAGCACATCTTTCTATTAATGGAGTGAGTTCATGGCACAGTAAGTGCTATAAGCTTTGGTGCATTAATTTGTTGTGTTTAGAATGTTTGCAAAGTAGGTGTTACAGATGTTTTTAGAACAAATGCCCCTTTAAATCAAGCTAGAGTGGGGTTTTAGGGTATCTGAAACAGAGGAATTTTACAACACTGTACATCTGCAGTATTTTAATACATAAGGTAAATTGTGTGCACTAAAGAACCAGGTATTTACAGAGTGCTGCATCAGCTCAGAAATGAAAGAGTTGTTTGGGTGATTTGAGAAGATTTCTGACATTTTGTTAAAGAACAATCTGTTTCCACTGTTAGATATCCAAATATTGTAATTATGTTTCTTGGACAAAGAAATGTGTTGCTTTGTGACTTACACAGCCCTGTGAACATGATCCTAGTCTGCTAATTATTAGTAGTAATATGGAAACTTCAAACTAGGTCATTGCCAGAAGAACAGGAAAAGTTTAATAGCTGCCTTTCTGCTGATGTCACTGTCAGGAGCTCAATTATTCTATCACTTGCTAAAAAGGAATGCTATAGAAATTCTCCAGTCTCCTGTAAATGGAACACAAATCTGGAATTTTTAGGTTAGTGCAGGGTAAGTCAGTTCTGGCTCGATGTCTTGATGAATTTGGTAGGACCTCAGAGCTCATGGATTCAGTCCACACCAAGTGAGCACCTCTGGCAGGTGCATCTGCTGAACCCTGCTCTGTCCACTGTGCAAATGACCTACAGATTGTCTCCAGTTCCTAAAATATTGACCAGACATAAAACTTCCCTTCAGTCCAAATGGAATCACCAAACTTCAGTCTTGGTGCTCTGTTTGTTTTGCCATATGAAGCCTGGCAAGCTGTTTAAGGGAGAGCCTGGGATTTGCATCAGATTGGAAACCTCCCTGTTCTGCAGGGCAAGGCAAAGGACAGGACTGGGCAGATGGCTTTCCCCACGTGTCAGCTCAGTAAGTTTATACTCATGCAAATGCTTTCATATTACTGAAACCGCTTCTGATTTACTTCAGTGTAAATGTCAGGGTTTTCAATTTCTGATTTAGTCTTTTTAATGTCTCAGTTCACTGAGCTGCTGCAGCATATGCCTTGTGTCAGGCCTTACATATAAAAAACACATAGGTAGATCCATCTAATTTTAAACAAAGAGGTTAAAAGAGTCTGTGAAATGCTCAATATTTTTAGTTTCCTGTTGACAAACTCAAAATATTGAAGGTAGAGAAATATGTATCTACAGATTGATTTCCACCTTCAGACATACCCACACATTAAGAGGTACATGAAAATTCTTCCAAGAGCTTTGCACCACAACTGTATAAAGGTGCACTGTTAAATGAAATTTTAAAAATTAGTTCAGTTATATCAACACATCTAATTGTCACTCAATAATTTCACTTTGTTACTGAGCCAGTTTATTTTTATACTCTTACCAGAATTTTGTTTTAAACTACGAAAAAATTCTGAAGTGTTACATACAAAAATGAAATTAATTACTGCTTCAAAAGTGTATTAAACTGATTTATAAATTAGCAACATTTTCTCTTCTTACTTGAATTCACTGCTCTGTAGATTTCTGGGCAGGTTTCAGTAGAAAGCAGGGTTCTCAAGTTTCAGATTTACTTTGGTTCCTTACCTGGTACGGATCTGTTGCAGCTTAATAGATTCCTCACTGCGAGCACATTGCTCCTGATGTGAATGTCACTCTTCAGTTTAGCTTATGTTCTTTTACTTTGTAGACAAAAGAGAAGTAAATTTAATAATTACAGCAACATTCTTTTTAAGGAAAAAGTAATGAAACCATTTTCTTTGCTACTCTTCCTTTTTTTTTTTTTCCCCCGTATATGCAAAATATCTTCAGTGAAGAGCTCGGAAATTTTCCACATAACTGAATTTTTGTAACCAGCCTTGAATTCAAACAGATAGTGTTCAGGAGAGAAAGGAATATATTTCAGTATTTCATAAGTAGATAATTCATACGCTCTGAAATGGTAATCTTGGATATGCACTAATTTTTAAGATTATGGGTATAGGAAAAGACATTATTACTTGACAATTATTACTTGACAATTAAGCTTTTAATTTTTGTACTACTAAGGCACTGGCAGAGCAATACTGCTAAACTGTGTAAAAGTGAATTGCCTCTGTTTGCAAGCATTCAGCCTGAGCCATTCAGCCATCAAGACAAGAGTAGAGCAGTAATTAAAATGGAAATATCCTAGTTTAAGGATGGGAAAAACTGGTGTGTTTAAAGTCCTTTGTAATAAAACTATTTGTGTAGCCACTTTGGAAACTCATTACTGTTTTAAGGAATTGCTTGGATTCTTTGGAACATTACTAAATTAAGACACTGTTTTTATTTCTTTAACTTGAAGTGACATTCTGTATATACCATAAAAATACAATATAGGTCTCACTGACTAATCATTTTATTAATATTTTCAGTCAAATTCTAGAATATTCTCTTCTCAGATTCTGTTCTTTTAAATGTAGAAGTGCTCCTCTTTATGAGACCAAGTGAATTGTATGTATTTCTGCTGGGAAAATAAAACAAGTTAGTGTGTGTGAAATGATTTAAATATTACTGTCACCTACCAAAACCAAAAAAGCAACATACCAAATTTAAATGTGTTTTTATTGTTGTCAAGAAAACAAAACTTCTTAATTACCATTGGGAAAATTATATTCTATAACAATTTTCTTTTCTTCTTGTATTTGTTATAACCAACAGTAAATTGCTTTTTTCCCCCCTAGGAATTTGTCAGGGAATATTTTTTCAAGTCTCATGAATGGACTTTTTTCTGAGCTGCTAGCTCTGAAAGCCCTGTGAGTATCATTCCTTTTGTTTGTAAATCTGAAATATTTCAGAAAGACATTAGAATAAACACAGCAGAGTTGCATATGAATTCAAACAGGATTGCTTCTAGAGATGCATTCCAAAAATAAAATCTGCATTATTTTGTTATCCATGTCTGGCTAGCTGTTGATGAGCTGCCACCTTTACCTTTTGCAGGGAAATGGACAGCACTGACAATTCAACCCCATTCCTGGCTAGCCCAATCTAGTGCTCCTGACTAGCACCCCTTTTTTTTTTTCTTTATAGTTATAATCTTAAACTTTTTCATGGCTTCATGCATTACATCTTATTTGGCCTCTGCACAAAACCAGTAATGTTAAACATTTTTCCTGGAATTATAATAACAGTTCCCAGTTATTGATATTAATTGTACCTGCCTAAGATATAAGAGTGTGTACTGAATGTTTCTAGAGAGGTTTTTAGTAAATGAAAGTATGCTGTAGTATGATTTTCTGCAGTAACACAGACTCAAAATTATTTCAGTAGTCAATGATGCTGTTCTGGAACCAAATCCAGAATTTTTGCATAATGTTATGGAAGTAATTACCAGTGGGGCAATGTGCATTGGTTGTCTCAGACTGTCTTTGTATTCATGCATCCACAGTTATGCATTTATCCAGAATTCTCTTTGGAATTAGATAATTTATATCTAGCAGAAGAAAGTATGTTCATGGAAACTGCATGTGTACCAACTGTGGTCATTCTTTGCCTTTGTAGACATTTCAACACTGATTCACTGATTTGTGACTGTAACCTAAAGTGGGTCTTGCAATGGGCCAGAAATGCTTCAGTCCGAATAGCAGAGGAAACAGTTTGTGCTTACCCCAGTGCTTTACATGGACTGTCACTTTATAACCTGAAGGAAAACCAGCTGATATGTGGTGAGTTGTACTCTCATTTAGCATTACAAATTGAATGCAGAGAATATACCAAAAAAAAGAGAAATTATGAAAAAAAAAAATCTTAAATCTGACAGGTGTGTGACACAGAAGATACACCTAAGAATGAAAGAGAACAGCAAAAAATAGACATTTCTTATTTCATGTCTCAAGAACACCACTGTTCTGCAATGTATTCAGTAATATGTGATTATAATGTAAGACATTTAACTGTGATGCTAGTTCTGCATTGTATTCTTTGTGAAACTGAGGATTCCTACAGAAGTTTATGTAATATTTCTTTCAAGTTATGTGTCTGACAGGGAGATATTGATGTCAAATTTAATTATTTTATTTTTTTATCAACCTGTAACTATATGTTCTAGCACTGCTTCCTAGGGGTGAATGGAATACTTGCAGTGAACTTCAGTTAGGTAAATTCTGTATTTGAAGAAGTTAAATGTTTGTTGGATATTTTCCACCATAAAAAACATGATAGATACAATGTGTGGGAGAAAGCAAAAAAATCCAAATAAGTAAAGAAAACTCATTTCACAATGGGCATTGTCTAGCAATGAGCAGATTAAACCAGAGATTTTTAAAAGTATCCCACAGCAGAGAAAGGATCACTGCCTGAGGTGATGCCAGTGGGTTCCAGAACCAAAAGTCTAATTTCACACATAGTTGATTAATTTCAGAATCTTTGAATCTTCTACATGCTTGAATAACAGAAAATTGCTGAGACTGTGGCTTTGCTAATGTCTTTGCAAACAAAAGGAGAGTCACACGTTTCTCCTAATAACCACAGGAATAATGATGTGTGTTGTTATCAAACATGCTCATAGCAGAAGGGAGATCAGTTGACTGGAATGATATATAGGGAATGGGTTTTAACAACAAATACATACATTTATAAGTTGGAAGAGATTTGAAAAGATGTGAATATTACCTACAGATGGTCCATCAGGTGAATTGTTAAGGAAACACAGATGGGTGTCTGGAGGCAGACATGGAACGGGCTCTTGGGAGCAAAAGGCAGAGACATTTCCAGTAGCCTGTGTTACCAAACATTTGAATTCTGCAATACTCTTCAAATATCAAACTCACATTTTATAGCGAGCCAGCATGGGCATCCTCATAGAGATCCATTTCCCAGCAGGAAAAGTACTTCTAAAAGTGCTGGCACGATCAGGAGAGTGATTAAGGACTGTTAATTGGTATTTCCAGGTAACAAATGAATATAAATCTCTGAACTACAGAGGAAATGAAAGCAATTTCTCAGAATTTCATAATTTAATTCCTAATAGGACTTCCTATCACACCTTTGATAGAGAATTTATGATGCCCATCTAGTTCTGACTCCTATTTACAATCTCCACAGAACACTTGACAAGGGCAGTAATGACTGCCAGTGGCTTGACATTGCTTCCAATATCCACAGAGAATTTTACAGTGGTTATAATTGCTGAGCCTTCCACCAGCTCTGTAATATCTGCCAGGTATTTCATGGTGCTCAGAGTATCTGCTGGGTAGCTCACAGTGTCCAGAACATTTAGCAATTTCATTTTCACTACGTTAATTTGAGTTAAGGCATAATAGAGGGCTGTCTGGCACCAAAATAATAATAGCTATTGAAAACGATTTATAAATATTATGTGTTGAAATATGCACAGAGCTGATCAAATTAAACATATCTTAAAGAAAATATTGAGTGACTTAAAAATTATAAACTCCTTCATGTGAACATCATCCATACTGTCAGACATTTTCATTTATAGTCACTGATCTTCCTTCGACATGCAAAAAGATGTCATGAGATATCACAGTCACAAGATGAGCAAAAAATAGAAGAATGAAAGGACAAAAAACAAAACTATGAGAGAAATGGGCAGAGTTTTACAGGAGAGTTAAGGAGTGAACCAGAAAGTCAAAGTATGTGGATTCTGAATAGCTACAGGGAGCAGTTTGCCATCAGGTTTTTAGGTTTATTTTATATGTTGAGGTGAGAAAAAAAATCATCTTTTGAATTTCTTCCTGGCAAATCTTTCTCATGCATCTACTGACTCATGATAGCCAAAGTAGTAAGTTGCCTGTTGGAAACAGTTGAAAACCTGCTTTAGGGGCTTTTAGGAGCTGCACAGTTTTAGAATTCCCAGGGTTCTGCTTGCGTATTTCACTAACAGCTTTTAAGAGCTACTTAAATCTTCTTTAGCAAAATTCTCCAACTGTCAGAAATGTTTGGTTAAAAAACAATTCTTGACAATTTTGGAAATAAGGCTGAAAAGCTGGTTTGATGACAAAATACGGTTTTGCCCCTGTCTTCTGCCTTAATGGTGAGGGACTGTGATGAATTCATAATGGTGTGGACAGAGTACCTTTCTGAAAAATGGTTGTGAAATTGGCTTCATGCAGTGCCTTGTTACTCGTTCTCCGTGACTCCAAATACAAGTTACTCAATTTCCAGGAGGAAAATTACATTTTCCTGAATATGAGTGCTATAAATTCCACCTGAGGTCTGATAGGAGTCTGCGCTTTTCCCTGGCTCACATCATCAGCAGGGATGGATTCTCTAGGCCAAATTCTTCACTCAGGAAAGCCGTGTATGAGTTCTTGTCTTAAGGAGATTGTGAAAGATTGCTGTTAAAGCTGGGTTTTGATTATTTATACTGATGAATGAGATATTAGAATTCAGCTTCTCAGTCTCAAAACTGTATTGATGTTACTAAACAGCATGAAGAAGTAAAAATTCAGTTGTTCTGCAAATTACAGTTGACATACAACTGTGAGGGAGTGCTTTTCTGTTAGAAAATGTTGACTCATCAAAACAGATGTTTGGAAAAGGGCTGACTTTGTTTTTTCCCCCACTTAGATTTTATTTAAAAGTTAGAAAGTTGTTGACATAACATCAATAATATTTATATAGAAATTTTGACTAAAATGCTGAAAATATTTACTAAATATTGCCAAAAAAAATATTGGAAAGGTCAAAGAATAAAAACAATTTTTATAGTGCCCAAAGACATTTGTTTGTTTGTTTGTTGGTTTGTTAATTTATGCCACAGAGAAAATGATCTAATTCTCCTGGGACAGAATGCTGTTCCTCATTCAGATCTCCTACAAATTAAAATCTTGGAGTTTGAATATGTATATGCTTTACTGATTTTTATAAATAAGTAATTGAGAACATGTTATTCCTTTAGTTAATTAAAAAAGAAATTGTTTGAAAAGAAAATATAAAAGGATATTGAGAAATCTGGGGTTTTTTGCTTAGAGTTTATTGCATTAATACATAATAAATTACATTTTTATTCTTTATCATTAAGCATTTTTTCATGCAGTTGGTAAATAAGTTTTGTTCTTTTTTGGTGTCAGTAGCTTTTCAGGTTTCTGTGGTCTAATCATGGTCATGATACGGTTGCATGGACCTATAAAGCAGGTCAAAAGGTTCAAAGAACTAGAGGTAGTGTCTTGGATCTCAGGAAATCTAAATGCAAAGAGTCTACATTGTTTTCAAGTGATTTTGTGTCACTAAAGGACACAAATGATTCACACAAATGCCTCTCAATGTCAGAACAGGAAAGAAGTAACTTTATTCTCTGACTCCAGTATTTATAGATTCTTGACAATGACCAGGGACTGGATAATTAAGTTATCACCTTCCCAAGCACACTGGTCATGCAAAACTTCTATCAAAAGACATTTCTTAGAAGGAATGTGATAAACAACTTACGTTTATAGGACTTTCATGGGAAAGTAACTAAAACTGTGAATACATTATCAGAAGGCTTTAAGTTTCAGGGCAGTTTTGCTCTGCTCATCCAGATGGTTTCCTGTGCATAAATTCACATCATTGCACCCCAGCTCTTCAGGCAAGCTCGCTGTGCTGCATGAGACCTTTCCTGTAGTTGTCCTTACCTCTCCAAGCCATGCTGTGAGGCAGTCTGCCAGAAAGCCCCATAAAGCAATCTTGCCCTATAAAGCAATCTTAAACAGTCCTGGGTGGCTCAGGCCATGTTAGAAGAGCTTGCATATCTGACCCCATATGAGATGCTGGCTAAAGGTAATTCCCAAAAACCACGCTCACCCTTTTTGTCTGTGTTGGTGTAAAGCGATGCACAGGTCTTTTCCTGGGAAGAAACAAATCCATTGCTCCTCTCTGTATTATGCTTCTGTATTAAATGTTTCTGTTTCCCAGTTCTTCATGGTCTGTGTTGAATTGAATGGGAAAAAATCTCTTTCCATGTTGAGCTGCTTCAACACAGGACTGTAGGACAAGAGTTACAAGAAGTTCTATGATACAGCATTATTTCTTCACCTATACTCTGCACATCTCTGGAAAACCCATGCTGTTGCAATAATTACAGCCAGCAAATGGAGACAATTAGCAGAACTAGTATTTATACACGTTCTCTGGATACCATCTGCAGCAACTAAACTTCAAAGGTAAAGGAAATACCTATAAGCACAAATGTTAGATACCTTCATTGAAGACACAGTCTCAGGGGAAAATATGGTACAAACAGAACTTGAAAAACACAGAGTAACATCAAATCACAAGACAAATATCTCAACTGAGTCATTTTCCTTTCTTGTATTAACATGGGTGAGGTAGCATCTGGTTTTAGGTACCATCCCATCTACTGTAAATACTTCTCTATTCACAGGAGCCTGTTTTTCAGAGGTGGAGTATCCAGAGCTTCAGTACCCAGAAGCTTGATTTGAATTCTCTTGTTGCTCTGTGTGCTTCACATTCATGAAAATCAACTGTAGGGTGTTTCACAGTGGGGTCATTACAGTAAATTAAATAAATATTTTAAATAAGTAAATATTTTTAAAGTATGTATTATGCCAGAATTTGTGTTTTGTCCATGGGTGGTGCATCTGTTGGTTGTGATCCACAGACTTGTAAGTATTTACATCAAACTTACAGTGAGAAATTCTTTGAGTTGGTTCATAATTTACTAAAAGCTTTCATAGTCAATTTGGACTTCCACTGGGGACAT